GTAATCTAGAAGTGTGGAGGTAAATTGCAGAAGAATCAGCTTAAAATAATGTCTCTCTAGAGAAAGAATTAGGGGTGGGAGAGAAAACTGCTATTTTTTCCTGTTAAGTCTACGACAGGTATCCCCCACTTTCTGAAAGTTTGCTTCCCACCACTTCTCTTTCATGAAAGACCTGTATTAGTACCTGTCTTCCTCAACCAAAAGTAATCTGAAATGTTCAAAGTGGTAATAGCTCCCACGTGGAGCTATTAACCAACTATCCATTAACCAACTATCATCACCAACAGAATGAGTACTCATTTAGAGCAAAGAAGAATGAAGAAAACCAAAGATGGATGGAAACAATTAGTCTAAGGGACTGGTAGACCATAAAATCCTCAGCCTATATGATCATGAGACCAAAAGAACTAGATGGTGCGCGGCTACCATTGTCAACCAATGGGAGGGGAATCAGTGCAAGGGATCCTAGATACAATGGGAGAACAATGTGGAACAAAACTGAAAATCATAAAAAGAAACCAGGTTTGATGATCTGATAGAGCCTGGTGAGACCCCTGAGACTAGGGCCCCTAGTTACCCTTCAGGCCTGGAACTGAACTCACTCCTGTGGCTTCCAGCCAAACAGCAACATTTACATCAGGTAGATACATTCCTTGGAGAAATCATAGGAGAACAGAAGGGCAGTGTTTGCACAGGAAGACAGCTCAGGGGGCAGGAGTGCATAGGAAAGAAGGACATAGGGAAGAGGTAGTAACTATGGGGAGAAAGTGGAAAGAGAGCTGTTCATGGTGGAGAATTGTAGTCAATGTCATGAAACAAAATATGTATGAACTGCTGTATGAAAAACGAATTTGCTCTGTAAACTTTTACCCAAATCACAATAAAAATTAAAACAAACAAACAAAAAAGTAATCTGAAGATTTTCCACTGTTACAAAACAAGGGGAAAAGTGAAACTAGCCTTCAGTGTTTGTTTTGCAGCAAGCCATTAAAGAGACGGTGTGTACACCGAGCAAGGGAGTGAGTGGCGCCACCAAGCTCCTTCCCTACACTCAGTATCAAGCAGCCATAGCTTTGAACTATATCTGTGAACGCTATATGGCAGTGTTAATTTAGGTTTTATGTGTTATTTAGTATGATTTGGTAGATTATTTTGGGGGTCTGGGAACACCCCCAAAAAAATTTCCATATAAATTAATGGTAATTGCATCTTCACTTTATGCCATTTCAACTTAAGAAAGATTTTATAGGAACACTCTACTTCGGATAGCAGGGGAAACCTGTCATACTCTTTGCCTTTTTAATATGTTTCATGTATTATCTTAATATCAACAAACTAATTCAAACTAAAATGCATAGTGATTCATTTTTAGCATTTACCATTCCATTTACTAAAGAGTTCTGCTTTCTTTTTTCACTTTCTGCCAAATTTTGAAACTTCCATGTTTTCCTTATCTGAGGTTCAGAAATCTTAATCCTACCTTCTGGTCTGCATGTAGGGTGAAAATTAAATATAGCCAGATGCATTCGTCTGTGTCATTTACTTTAGCACTAAGATGGCTCAAGAGTCTATACAAACACCATCAGCACCAGAATATGAGCAGCCTGGAGCACTTGCCTTTACAGCCATTTGCTTGAGGAAAGCTCAACTGAGAGCTATAAGGCTGCTATTGAACTCTGATAGGAGGGAGCTTGAGGCATGCTTTCATCATCCTTTTCAAATATACAGAAGGTGGTTTCCAGCTCTTTCTGGATCCACTGAGGAACACATGAGGAAATGGATTCATAGCAGAGCCTAAAAATTTGGATAGGAGACAGAGATGACTTCTCTAACCCTAGTAAGATTTACTGAGGGCAGCTGAACAATCTTGTTCTTTATGATAAAGACGATTCCCATTTTCTGTAGGATTGGAAAGATGAAACTTATAGCCTCCCTGCAACCCGCCCAACCCCATCTTGCAGTAATTTTGCTGAAAGAAATAATAGGAAGGGACGTGGTCTCTGCAGGGACCACACAGTTCACATTCTTTTGGGACCAGCTCTATATTAGAGGCCATCCATCCCATGCAGCTGTTACACGTCCAGGAACCTCAGCACAAAATAAATTTTCCATAGTGATTTTTGTGAGCACTTGTCTGGAGTCCATGACTAGTGCGAATAGTTAACACTCTGTCTGCTAACTGAAAAGTTGGAGGTTTGAATCCACTCAGAGCCACCTCAGAAAAAAGGCTTGGCAATCTACTTCTGAAAAATCCTATGAAACACAGTTCTACTCTGACACACACGGGATCACCCTAAGTCAGAATCAACTTGAAGGCAACCGGTTGGTTGAGTTTGATACAACTGAAGCTCAAACCTGGTCCTAGGACCCTGAAGTTGCTTGTTTGATTTATGCTCTCTGTTGTCCAGTGGACTAGTAGTTACAAAACAGTATTTATAAGCATGCCCCAAAAATGTTATAGGACTCAGGTGGATCAGAACATTAACCCTTTGCTCGTGACTTGAATTTGTCCAGTGACTTGAATTTAAGTTGTGTTCTGGAGCTCTGGCTCAATGGCACTGAGCCAGGCATCTTTAGCACTTCCAAGGAACCCACCAGTTTAAAACAAGGTGTAGACTAGGCTTCCTTGTGCACATGCACATCCTGGAGTCCCCTACGCACTACCACTGCCTGCCACCTCCCACAGAATTATGGTGGATGTAGTCCAAGTCAGAAGGGTCTCAACACAAAGTACAAAATACTCCCTGAAGAGGGGATGACTAAGCCTAACTAGAGGCTCCATCTTCCCCAGCCTCCTAGTAAACTCATCATTAATTTGCCAGTATGCCTACCTAAGGAGTTCTGGTAGCATAGTGCCTAAGGCACTTGACTGCTCACCAGAAGGCTGGCAGTTCAAACCCACCAGCCACTCCTCGGAAGGAAGGTTGGGCAGTCCTACTTCCGTAGTGATACTGCCTCGGAAACCCCAGGAGGGGTCGCTATGAGTCGGGGCCGACTCAACGGCAAACAACAACAACAACATGCCTACCTAACACTGCTGCCATTCCTTAGGCCAATTCTCAAAATATAGTAGTCCAGAGAGAAGCGTTACTTTTTAAGACTCTCCAGGTGTAATCAGATCCTCCTCCTGAAGGCAGGTTTTGCTGATTGTGAGGGAGATAGAGCCAAAGGCACTACTGGCCACATAACTGAGGGAAAAGGATGACAGGAAAGCTCAGCTGTGGACCTCCTAGAACTTCTGCATCTTCTTCCAGCCAAACCCTGGAGAGACTGGGGTCATAACCAGGATGTTATGGACCTGGAAAGCTGAGATAGTACCGATAAGCCTTTGAAATGGTTAATCCTGTTACAGTGAAACCGACTCAGAAAGCTGAAGCCTGACCCCAGATTTCAGTACCTGCAGGACCAGACCCCAAGGCACCATTCACAGTGGCCTGTGAATCATTTGATTCCCCACCAGATGGAAAGCAGGTGTTGTCCTCTTCTCTCTGCATCCCCTCTTGTGCACCATAATAAGTTCTAAGGCACATAAATCTCTTAAATGGGAAAGTAAACATTCTTCTTAAAAAAAAAGGGGGGTGGGGGGAATGAGAAAAGGGAAAAAACGTATCAGATTTTCCTGGCCTACCCTACTCTTCTAGTTTATCAGATCAAAATGAATTCATATCAGCAATAGCTTCCCTGGTATTTCCTATTTTAAATAATGTTGAGCTGAAACACACCACGCTTTTTGCAGGACAACTGGGCGGCAGTTATTCTGTTCCCAATATTACTTTCATGTTCTCTTTTTCTTCCTGGATGATTTAACTAACAGCAAAATACAGCCGTTGCCAACTCTTGAAACATTTCTGGCTGCATTCCTTTTTCTCCCTCAACCTAGGCTCGTGTCAAAACCTTAATTCATAGTGACTTATTAGCAACCAGAGCAAGTTGTAGAATAATCCATTATGAAGAAACCAAGCTTTACTTGGAATCAGTGAAGTTGCTTCTGAGAAAAGGGCCTCCTTCTCTTGAAGTGGCATCAGCAGGGATTGAGCCCGCTGTCCGTGGAGGCGCTGCCTCAGCTCTCCCTCCTTTGTTTTACCTGCTGCATTTGGGACACGGTGAAGGCTGGGCCCATTCTGTTCTTTCTCACTTTCTTCCTTGCCTGTGGAACTATCTTGCACATTCTTGGGAGCTGTGTCATGACAAGTCCGTAAATGATTCACATCACAGTGACCTTTAAAGAGCAGAGCAGAAATCAGCTGGATTTCGGACGCCTTGAGCACAGCGGAAGCCAGCATCCGGGGCTTTCTGTCCCTGCGCCTTAAGCTGGAGCTCATTCCCATCTCTGGGGGCCGAGCCTGAGCTTGCAGTTTCGTGATAACTTTTAATTGCAAAGTTAGTGTATCAATTAAACCTTACAGATTATTATGTAATTAAACTTCTGAAAAATGAAAATGAGATCGCTAGGTAACAGAAAGGCTTAATGGAAGAGGTAGGAGTTATGAAGAGGGAAATTTATTTAACTCATCAGAAGTCTTTTTTCTTTCTTTTCTTTCTCTTTCCTTTCTTCCTTTTCTTTTCTTTCTTCCTTTTCTCTTCTTTCTGTCTTTCTTTTCTTTTCTTTCTTTCTTTCCAGCTTGAGTACCACCAAAAGGAATTGAACTAGTTCAAAAAATAATTTAATGTTACTTGTAGGGCTCTGGTAGCATAGTGCCTAAGCACTTGACTGTTAACCAGAAGGCTGGTGGTTCAAACCCACCAGCCACTCCTCGGAAGGAAGGTTGGGCAATCTGCTTCCCTAATGATACCACCTCGGAAAACCAAGGAGGGGTCGCGATGAGTTGGGTCCCACTCACCGGCAGTGTGTACCATGGATTATAAAAATGTTCCAAATGCTTATGACATTACTGCTTTATGAATTTTTGCCATTGTTGATGAGCTGAACTAGAGAGAAGATGTTTACCTGCTTTTTAAAATAGTGTTTTTTAAATGCTTTCTTTTTTCCCTATTCTCAGAAATAAAAATGACCCTCCCGTTCATCCGATCCTTTCGTCTCTCTCAGTTCTTTGTTGCTACCATCAAGGAACAGTCATAAAAGGCTCATTTTTAATCACTGTGGTGAGGATTCCAAGAACCATTCTCGTTTATGTTTATAACATTCTGAAAGAGAAGGTAAGGCAACACCCAGTATGGCATGGTTGATGTTTGTTGCAGGAAAATTAATTACTGGAAAACTACAAGTGGGCCCCGGGGCAGAAACATAGTCTGTGACACTGCCATCAAGTAGGCTCCTGTGTTCTTCGTGACCGCCCCCCCAACCGCTGCTCCAACAAACCTTTTCCCAGTCTAGGTGTCTTCTGTTTTCATTTGTTGGGTTTTCTCCAATGTGGTGGAGATGGGTGTCAGGGAGACACCTAGGAGTAGTTCTGAGTTTGTTGGGTTTCCTTCTTATTTAAATGCTGAACAAATGGAATGAATTCTTAAGAAAAACTTTCAACAAGTTTTGGTGGGCATTTATCATGCTTTTAAAAATAATAAGAAGAAAATACACTAACACATAAGGAGTAGTATTTGTTTCTCTTTTAATGCAAAAATATCCCCCCTTTTGTTTCCTAGAGGGTGCTAAGGTTACTGGTGTGTGGGAGGAAGGGAAGGTGGGAGAGAGGGTGAATGAGTGAGTGTGTGTGTGTGTGTGTGTGTGTGTGAAAAAGAGAAAGCGAAAAAAAAAATGTGTGGGTCCGATCTTCAGCATGCTTGAGAAAAATGGGCAAGCTGACCCAAATCTCAGCTCAAAAGACAGAAAACTGTAGGGCTTTTGTGCCTGAGATTTTTTCTCCTCCCTGGTTTTTATTTCCATGGACATTTGCTTATGAATGCCAGTGGAAACCAGAACACCAGGAAAACAGCTGTTCTCATGGTATTTCTGGCCTGCCAAACAAGGGAAGTTTGGATTCTTCCCAACCCTGCCGTTCTCACACAATGTTCATCTCTCCCCCATCCCCAGGGTGACTTGGTCAGAGTTTCAAAACTTACCTGATTCCAGCCTTTTGTGTATAGCTGTGTGTCCTCAGTCAATTGGGGAGATTTTGCACTTGGGCTCATAGTTATTATATTGTAGGATTGTTTTTGTTTGCCCTTTTAAGCAGAAATCTGAATTGTTGATATTTTTAAATGCATAATGATGATATAAGAGTTCTAGATTAGTCAGGAACAATTGATTGAATTTCACCATAAATTATTTGGCTTCTTAGCTCAAACTGCATGCTCAGTAGTTGCCCCTCATCATAGAATATACTCCTGTATTTCTGTTAAATTCACACAGAGCTACATTTTGGTGACTGCCTTTTCTCTTGAAAAGGCATTTCCACATCGGGGTCAAATCTGGCTGACTTCTGGCTCCTGCATTTTTAAGTTGATCCTTCAATGTTAGGAAACTTGGAGAAGGATTCCTTGAAGATGAGAACAGCTTTTTATTTCAAATATAGTCACGTATATGTACATTAGTAATAGATAATCATAAATTAATAGGCAACAGGGAAGCTTGCCGTCCCTCCTACAGTTAAACATCTTAAGCTCTTTCGGGGAAACGGCCTTCCATAAATCTCAAAAAGGAGTCGATAAAAGACCCAAGGTTTCTGACTGCGGTTTAAAAGGGTATTTTCACTCCCAAGATCTCATAAGGACCAAGGGGCCAAACTCCTTTTTAGTGATATCACTGTCCTTTCTTAGGCTAAAAAACAACTTGGCTTCCTCAGTAGCCTTACAGCCCAGTACTGTGTCTACAACTTAAATATTTCACGCAGCCACTGCTTGATCTTTAGTACTTAAATAGGCTCATTCACGACCGCAGCCCGCTGAAAAGTATCCAGATCGGGTTTCATCCAATTGAATTAACATTGGGACAAGAAAATGTCCATATAAGGCTGGGTTATTCCTGGGGTCCTCATAGAAGACTATTTCAGGACTGTTTTCAAGGATTTTTTTCCCCCACTGTGCAGTGGGTAGGACATGTTCAGTCACCCTCCTCCAAGAGTTTTATTTAACCGTTTACTCTTGAAAACCCGACAGTGGGTTCAAACATAGCTCAGGACCAGGCAGTGTTGTGTTCTGTGGTACATAGGGTCTCTATGACTCAGAACCAACTAGACAGCACCTAACAACAACTTTCACTCCTGAGAGATGCACAGATTCAAATTATATTTACAAGGACTAGTTCATCCCCTGAAATTTAGCCCTGAAAGTCTCACTATAGGATTTATTTCCCAAAGAGTTAAACTTGACTCTTCTTTTATGTGTCCACGTAACTAGTATCTACAGTGCATTACTTTATCTTAGTATCTCTGGGTTGCAGATTTTTCTTGAATGTAAACTTTGGCTTCAAAAATTAATGTTTACCGTTTAAGACGCTTAGAGGCGAATGAAAGGAGAGAGAGAAGCATTTTACTAGAACCAAAAGGCTTAGTTTTCCTTTGTCAGTGATTATAGACCAACTGGGTTTTCTTTTTGCTGAGGTTAACGACAACCATACCGGCTAAGGCCACAAGAGAGAAACTTTGTTCATCAATACAATAGTAATAATACTGATAACAATAATTATTACTAATATTCTTAGTAATATTATTAAGTACAGACTAGAACTTCTCTCATACTGAACGAGAATTGCTGCAGTGTTTCCCAGGGGAATAAGTTTCCAAGCAGAGACAGGGTGTCCCCTCAGAAGCTGCTCACTTGCCCTCTCTGCCTGTGTTGGTTTTGACTCTGTCCCTTTGGTTCTGACCCTGATCCCACAGCGTAATGCATGGTCAACGTGTGTATTCAGGTGCTGCTTCTGCTGTTTCTGGTGTCTTGACAATTGCCTGCGCCATCTCAACCAGGTATGTCTCCCATCGTGTGTCTCAGGAATGAACAGAGGGGGGATTGGCACATTTTTTCTGTGAAGTCGGTTCCAACCCATAATGATCCCTCCTTGGGTTTTCAAGGCGGTATCTCTACGGAAGTAGATTGCCCAGTCTTCCTTGCAAGGAGTGGCTGGTGGGTTTGAACTCCCAGTCTTCTGGTTAGCAGTCAAGTGTCTTTGGCACTACGCCACCAGAGCTCCCTGTAAAGAGCTAGATTGTGTAAATGTTTTAGGCTTTGTGGGCCACAAAGTCTCTGTCTCTAAACTATTCAACTCTGCTGTTGTAGAGAGAAAGTAGTGACAGATAAAATGCAAATGAATAGGCGTGGCTGTGTTCCAATAAAACTTTATTTATTTATGGACACTAAAATTTGAATTTTATATAATTTTCATGTGTCAAGTAATATTCTTCTTCTTTTAATTTTTTAAAGCCACTTTATCGCTATGAGTCAGGGCCGACTTGATGGCACATAGCAACAACAACAACTTTAAAATGTAAAAATCAGTCTAAGCTCAAGGTCAGAAGAAAGCAAGGGGGCCTGCTGGATTGGCCCCTGGTCTGTGGTTTACAGACCCATGCCATAGAACCTTAGATCATTAAAGACATACTTCAAATTCTGAAAAAAACTGCATGTTTCTTTTAAGAAATAAAAAGGGGCAGGAAGGCATAACAACCCTATCATAATAAATATATATCAACTGAAAGCCAATTTTCAATGTCTTCTCTGAGAACTATAATTTTCCTGAAATAAGAGAATCACCTCCCTAATTTTTTATATATTTTACCAGCCTTTCACTTTCAAGCTATAAATAGTCCTTATAAAAATCAGAAAAATTACATACTGCAATTGTTTGGATTTCAAATTTTTTTTTCTTTCCTGAGTGTTTCAAGTTGATGGAAGTTTAAATATATGTTCTGTTCTTCTGTAGATAATTTAAGAAATGTTAATAGCCTTTAGTCGAATTTACACAAAATAGTATTGTTGTAAGTCAGCAGGCTGTTTTAAAATTTTTGACGTCCACATAAATTTCTCTGCAAAAATTGCTTCTTATTATTGCCCCTATTCTGAAGAAATGTACTGTTAGAAGTAAAGGGGCCGATTAAACTATCCTTGTTTAATGTCTTGTAAGTGGTATTTAGAATATCTTTTATTATTCAGGGAAAAGTGTAGCCTTCTTATATAGTAAGGCACTATTTATAAGGCTCTTCTTGAAAGAATTAAGAATCTTGCAATGCATTTTAGAGTGTGTTACATTTTCATTTGGATTGCTACAAGATATAAAATACACGATGGTGGTTTGGTGGTAGAATTCTCACCTTCCACGCAGTGGACCCGGGCTCAGTTCCTGACTGATGAATCTCAAGCACAACCACCACCCATTGGTCAGTGGAGGTTTCCATGTTGCCATGATGCTGGACAGGTTTCAGAGGAGCTTCAGATTAAGACAGACTGTAAAGACAGACCTGACAATCTACTTCTGAAAATCAGTTGGTGAAAACCCTGTGCATCACAACAGTCCGGTCCTCAACCAACACAGCTGATCTTAGAGATGGTACAGGAAAGGGCGGTGTTTTGCTCCACTGTGAATGGGGTCACCGTGAGTTGAGGACTGAGTTGACAGCAACTAACAACAACAAAATACCATAGCACCTTTCAGAACGGTGGGCCATATACCAAGTCAAGCTAAACCTATGAATACTCCCATTGTGGTATAATATGCCATGCTTTTCTCTTCCTAGAACTGTATGCATGTATCCATACTCTACCTTATTCCACAGAGATTTTCAGATGCATTCCAACAATGTAATTACTATGAGAAAATATAAATACATGAAAAATCAAGGCTAAGAAAACATATAGGTAGCCTAGAAATACAGAAGCAATGGGAACTACTAATACAGAGATGTCTGCCATGTAGTCCTTTCGGGGCCCTAAGATTTATTTGCCATCACCTTTCACTACGTTATGTAAATTCAGGTTCTTTCCTTGTCCCTCTTTCACTTACGATTTTCAAATTGCTTTGTGGAAGCCAAGGGTCTCCTTGTGGATACCACAGAGACCACCACTTTAGGAAGGGAGAGAAATGGGTAAGGGGAAGGAAGGAAGGGCTCTGACTCCGTACTACCCCAACCCCACATTACCTTTCCCATAGAGTAGCTGCACTGGTTTAGGTGTGGGTTTCCACTGAGGATTTCACTTGAAGGCAGGCCTCTGCTGCTAGAACGCATTTGAAAACCACTGTTTCTTATCATTTTCACATTTGCTTTCTCTGCCTTGTTATCTTAAGGGACATGTGTCCTACCTTCTGAAATTCTGCCCTCTTAAACAATCTGTGCTGGGCTACTAACCAGATGGTTGGCAGTTTGAATCCAGTGCAGAGGAAAGTCCTGATGATGTACTTCCGTAAGATTATAGCCATTGAAAACCCTGTGGAGCTCAGTTCTACTCTGATGCCCGTGGGTCACCAAAGTTGGAATTAATTCAACAGCAGTGTGTACATTAACCCTTTTCCCTTGGGAGTTCAAAATGTTTCCAAGATCATAAGTCATGTTAATATTAACTGCACTATAATTACCATTGTAAAAGTGATGCATCCTTACAACAGATATACAGTGGGAGTCATTGTCTCTGAATCACAAAAAGCTATGGTAGCCCTGATCTAACACCCACAGTGAATCAGTAGTTCAAACAGGAATCAGTCTCTTAGATTACAGTCATGGTGCCTATGTACTAGGCCTTGCCTTAAACCAGCTGTTCTAGCATTTTACCTTGGGGTAACTCCTACAGAACTAGGCAATCCTAGCTGACATAGGTACCACTGATAGGCCTAAGATTTAGTAGAATGAGAAAAAATGTAAGACAAAGAATTGTGTGGGTGTTGATGTGGAAACAAGGTCCCCCCCTCTGGTCTAAACTGAATAATGAAAAGCAGAGTGGGGAAAAAAAAAAAAAGATTTTTTTAAGAATAAAGTTGGTTATTGTATAAGGGTGATCAAATCTTTTCTCCATCTTGTTTGGCAAATGGACAAGGGAAATGAACTTAAATGAGTGAGAAAAGGAATTTAGATTTGCCTTTTGAAAAAATGTCCTGGCATTGGAATGAATTATTAGAAGATTAGAAGTTTTGCCATCTTCAGCTCTGGAAATCAGATTTCAAAGAGCTGAGGACTATTTTATTTTCCTCGATTTATGGAATAGGAGTTGGAAATGCAAAAAGAGAATGTTACCCATTTGTTACCGTCAAAACCCAGATGCTCTTCTTTATTTAACATCAAGGAGCTGTGGTGTTTTACCATTGCTTTTTGAAAGCCTAATCTGTCTTCACTGAGTCCTGGAGGGAGGCAGGTGGCAGTTGCTCCATTTCATAGACACCCAGCCTGAGGCTGCACATGATTCACCAACACAGTGGGGGATGCATCCCCCAATCGCATCATTTCTCATTACTCATCTCTCTCCACCATGAATGCCAGATGTGTGCATCCTGAACAAACTGGATGTGTACACGTCACACATTCATTCATCCAACAGCTATTTGTTTCTTGTTTATTGCATTTGTATGATTTGTGTGTTGAACTTGGGTATTATGGGGAGGGGGCCTGGTGATACAGAGGAAGTGTAAAGCACAGGCCCGTTCTTCAAGGAACTCGTGACAAATGAGTGAAGGTCAAAGACAAAGCAGTGACATCACATGACCTTATATGACAGATTGGAACTGCCCCATAGGACTGTATTGGTACTCAGCAACTGACCAAATGGTCAACGGTTTGAACCCACCAACTGCCCTGTGGGAGAAAAGACCTGGTGATCAGTCCCATAAAGATTACAGCCTAGAAAATCCTATGGGACAGCTGTACTCTGTGATGTGAGGTCCCGCTGTGAGTTGGAATCGACTCACTGGCACAACAACAGCAATCTTTACAGAAGCAGGTCACCAGGTCTTTCTCCCATGGAGCTGCAGGGTGTTTTCAAACCATCAACCTATTAGTTAGCAGCTAAACACTTTAAAGCTTACAACATGTGTTACACAACAATCAAAACTGATGTTTCACTAGTGTCCTATGGACTCCAATGCATTATTCTGTTAAGAAGCCTGGCTCCCAGACCATGCCTGGTAGCACTACCAAGCTGTGAACGTGCTCATGCAGAGTTGGGGGTTTTGCACGCTGGAGAGAGAATATCGGTATGTTGCTTGAGTCAGCTGTGTTCTGTGGCATTTTACTTCTGTGGATTATTTGCTTTTGATTAATTCGTTGTTTTCTTTATCTTTGTGAGTACTGCTTCCTTCTTCAATCCTTTGTTGTCCAGGAGAAATTAGGAGTGGGTGTAAGAGGTGAGCTGTAAACTGAGGTTAGAAAGTCTGAGAGCCACCATTTCTACTGAAGTCTCGTGGGAGGAGCTCCTCGATAAAGGCAACTGGTTAGGTAGAACAGTGGTTCAAGTCTAGCTTTGGCCACTTCCTTCTTTGTGTAACTTGGGTAAGTCACTTAACCTTACTGTTGTCGGTAGGTGTCATTAGAGTCAGTTCCTACTCATAGTGACCCCTCCTTGGGTTTCCGAGGCAATATCACTATGGAAGTAGATTGCCCAATCTTCCTTCCGAGGAGTGGCTGGTGGGTTTCAACCACTAGCCTTCTGGTTAGCAGTCAAATGCCTTAGGCACTACGCCACTAGAGCTCCCTATGCCTTGTTGTTGTTGTTGTTGTTTGCCGTCGAGTCGGCCCCGACTCATAGCGACCCCTCCTTGGGTTTCCGAGGCAGTATCACTACGGAAGTAGGATTGCCCAACCTTCCTTCCGAGGAGTGGCTGGTGGGTTTGAACCGCCAGCCTTCTGGTTAGCAGTCAAGTGCTTTAGCCACTATGCTACCAGAGCTCCTAGGTATAACAAAATGAAACACTGCCTGGTCCTTACTGAGCAGAGATTGAGCTAAATGAGTCCTGGGGTCCTTGTGTGGCTTTCTGACCCTTGGTGTGGTG